TATATATATATATATATATATATATATATATATATATATATATATATATATATATATATATATATATATATATATATATATATATGAAAGGATAGCGTCTTATTTGAATAGGCCGGAATCCGACCCGGCCTGGATAGGGTTCGGTCCAATGAATCTGAACCGGTGGATCAGGTTGCTCACTCGTCCTATAAATACGCGCTCAACTCATGCCGCCATTTTGCTCGATCGCTGCGTTCCAATGTCCGACTCGATCTCAGAGAGCGTCGCTCTCGTCCGCTCTCAGCTCGAGAAACGAAGGTGCGCCTTTCGTAGACCCTCTCCTCGGCCTCAGCTGTTCCTCCGCTTGGCCTCCGCCGCCTCGATCGCCTCTTATCCCGACGCCTATGATCTCGATGACTTCTTTTCTCCGCCAGACTCGACGGACGAACCCTTCAGATCTTGGAATCGGTTCTGGTCGCGCGTGATGTGCAGTCGCTTCTCGAAACCAGGTCGGCCTTGCGGCAGCTCTTTCGATCCGAGGCCTTGTCGGTCATGGGAGGAATCTCGGGCATGACGGTCGATCGGAAGCTCAGCACGGTTCAGTTCTTCGTCTGGGCCTTTGCTCTTGTCGGGGATGTCGAGGTGAGCCTTGATCTTGTTGTTTATTTGGTTTGGGTGATTCAATTTTGATGTTGCCTCGTGTCCTTTTCTTCAAATGCTTTGGGTAGTTTCCTATTAGTAAAAAAGCTTTTGGGATGACGAAGATCTAGTTCTGTTAAGTTTTGTTGATTCCAGTGAATTAAATCGAAATAATAATTTTGCATTTTATTGTGGAGAACTGAATCTCTTTGCTTCTGATCTTGAATGATGTAAGTTTAAACTTGTCATCAGCTGGATGTGTTAGTTTAACTACCAGACTTTTTAGAATAGGATTTGATAGAATTGTATCAAGTTTGAGTAGTTCTTGATTTGATTCGACTGCAAAATTCCATTTTGCGTTGGTTGAAGTCATGAGAGAAGGCTACTTGCCTGTTGGATGACAAAGTATCATCCAAATTTGAGTCGTCCTACCAATTTCTTATTAACATGATTGGCTGACAAAGTTTCAATTAGGTAATTCACAGATATGCAATCTGGTATACTAGTATGACGGCTATCACATTGATCTTGTCTGTTGTCATGCAGATTATGTATTCATAAGGACCAATGTTAGATGATATTGGATGTTGTGACAGGGAGCTAATGAATAAATCTAGGGTCCTTAGTTTTTTGTACATGTATAAATTATTGTGGAATCGTGGGTTCATGTTTGAACCTGTTGGACTCATTTGATCATTCACTATTGCAGCTTTATCTGCAGAATCAACGTTCAATTTGGAACCTGCAGAACTCATTTTAACATTTAATATTGCATCTTTGGCTGCAGAATTGAACCAATTATCGGCATTTTTTTCTGAGCTTTATTTCACTAAAATTTGAAGATAAAGTAACTATTAACTAAATGTTTGCTTTTCTCAGAGTTGTTTGTTGCTCAAATATGAAGCTCTGGTTCTACGGGAGTCAAAGCATCTTAAAATTCATGGTCTAGAAGTTTCATATGAGGAATGGTTGACTTTTGCCAAGGACTCACTTGATAATGGATTTTACCCAGTTGCCATACAGGTACCACAGCTTGTCTTTTCTCATTAGTAATTACCATCTTTTTATTTTCTTGTGTGATTCTTTCTATGTGCCAATGTGCATCTTCTAGATTCACAATTTGTCACCCCCACCTTTAGCCCTCTAATTTCAGACTACCATTCATAATTCTGAAATACTGATGAAATTTTACTGCTATAGTTTATTTTGGATCCCCATCATCTGGAAGATAAAGGGTTCTTGATTTTCATCAAAAATCAGTCATGGTCACATTTGTGTTCTTGGATGTTGGTTTCTTTCATTGCTTAATGTATGTGCTCTAGATCTTTTGATCTTCCTGACTTTCTGCAGTGGTCGTAGCTACAACTGCACTCTCCCTAGAAAATTCATTGTTTTATTTTTTGACTCCTAGTTACTAGCTACCATAATCATGCTCTTAGTTATTTGAGTTTTTCTTTCTTTACTTTATTCCTCCTTGATTGTTCTAACTGATTGTGCCGCTCGTACACTTTAAATTCTGAGGTGTCTCAGGATATAAAATGTGTAGATATACTTTCTACCAAGTAAGATGTGTAGAATATATTTGATTCATTAATTATTCTGTATGGCATCCACTATAGCTTGATGTGTTTTTATTTTGTTTTCTATATCTTAAATGACTACTATAAACAAAATTACAGCAATAGGAGTGTAAAAGATGTGCATGGATGCTTGTCTTTGATAATAAACATAAGCTAGTCTATTCTTTCCTAGTTTGCATCAAATGATGCTTCAGTGAGAAGTTCAAAAGATTTTTTCACTAAACGCAATATATGTTGGTTTGGATCAGCACAATGATTCTTGGAATTTGAATGTATAAAACAATTCTTAAGTTTAAGTCACTTCATTTTACTTATCTTTTTTTGGAAAATGGTCTTAGTGTAACTAATTTTGACTATTAATGTAATGCAATTCTTTATTAACATATGATGGTTATTCATTTGTACAATACTGGTTTATTGGAGGATGTTCATGGAATTTAATTAAGTTCTCAAATGAGAAATGTCTACCTACTTAGTATGATTTTTTAGTAGTTTCTTTCTCAGTATGCATATATCAGGAGTTTAGCAGCTACTTATGAAAATGATTGGCAGACTAATCCTTGATGTTACATCATTTTCAGTTTCTTACACAACTAAATTTCCTTTAAGTTGATTTGATGTTTGAGTTCACACGGTACATAAAAAAATGATGTCAGAGTTTTTATTACCAAGCAAATTCCCTTGGTATAACTATCGAGTGTAACACCTTTTGGCAAATCATGCTATTCCCAATTTCACGTGATATTGGGTTGGATTACTATTATGAATACCCTGATGTTACACATGCTATAACTATTTGGTCTCGTGTTCATGATTCCATTAAAAATGTAGCTTAGACTTTTGATTACAAAAATGGAAGTCAATTGATTGTTTTGAGTTCTAGTATTGACAAATCAGGTTGTATTCAGTGCTCGCTTTTCTGAAATCAGCATGTATTGTTCAGGGCACTTAAATAAGTCAAAGAATTTAAGTTAGGTTGTGGCAAGTTGGCAACTGATCCACCTTAGAAGTTACTCAATAGTCAATATAACAAGATATGTCATGTGGCAACTGATCCACCCTAGAAGATACTCAATATAACAAGAGATGTCATATATATGTTGTATTATTTCACATAATATCATTTTGTGTGCACATATAGGGAGGGGAACTAGTACGCTAACCAGTTAGCCAACTTTGCTAGAGTTAATAAGTTTAATTTTTTTGCTGGAAAGACCATTGGTCCAAGGGCTTGTGCCCACTCCTTACTTTTTGATAGGCAAGGCATCGGTTGTTACAGAACTGTGAAGTAGTAAATTTATGTGTTTCTTTGGAAAAAAAAAGAAATCAGGTCTTCGCGAAGCCCTTAGCAGTTGTTAAATTGATACCTTGCAAAAAGACAGTCCTAAGAGTTATGGGCTTGACACCCTGCTCAGAACTTGAGTGGCCATCCTGCTTGCAGGTTAGAGTAGACAAAGTAAAGAAAAATACAATTTTGTTATGAAAATTCTAAGATGATTTTCTGTATAATGTTAAACTATTTTTAGAAAATAGATTCAATCTAGATCCTAGAATCCAATGCTTCACTGGAACTTAAGAATTTTCTTTAGCATCCAAGAACTTATATCAGAAAATACATCCATTCATCAATTTTTAGAACTTGAATGTGTTAGTTGTTTTAATTCTTTCTTTCTCCTAATACACTCCTGCTTTTAAGGACTCTTCGTTATGAATCATTCTTTAGTATCCTCTGATATGGAATGGATAACTAGTTTAATTATGTCACTCTAAAGGTATCAAGGTTCACACCAACCAATTCAGAGAACATTATGATTATTTTTTCTATTATTTTACTGAGTTGTCATTTGTGTATAAGGCTTAATGTATATGAGGACTTCTTTTAGCTCAAAGTTGTTGCTTCACCATGCTTATGAATGATCCACATGGGTGCTAAAGTGGGTTCATTTTTTTTTTCCAACAATTACCTTGTTAATTCCATTTAATAATATTGATCTCTAATTATCTGAGTACACATTATAGGATTATCATAAGTAGTCTGAAACATCATCTTTTCTCATCTCATTTCATAGGGTTTTGAAAGGGCACTTCATTGCTTCCAAACCGAAAAAATTGAAGATCCAGAGTTTATGTCATCCGAGGATGCACATATTATCAAGTATATAAAAAAACTGAAAGATGTTGCAACATCATTAATTGCATCATGTTCTGGTATGTGTCTTATTTGGCTAGAACTGAACTACTTGAAAGAGATTAGCATATTCTTGCTTAACCATCATTAAAACTCTATGAAAATGAAAAAGTAATTGAAGTGGCTTTAAGAATATTAGTTTTATAATACAGTCATATAGAAGCTGGAACAGATACTGTCACCTGTAGCATCAGATTGATATTGTACATGATAAATTTGTGTGTATACTGAATAAAACAATAGGAGCTAAACAACCAAGCAAGTGCAATTACATTTTTGGCATAAGGCATGCCACTAGAACGCATGCCTTAAATCAGTCATTAACCTATAACCTCAGTGCAGATATACAAGCTTATAAAATAATTATCTTATACCTCTTGGCACAGATATACAAGCTTATAAAATTATGCTTGTGATGAACTAGGCCTAAATAGAGGGTGAAACTTTGTGTCATGATAAGGTTACTGCATTGTGGTCTATCTAACAGATATGAGTAGGATCAGGGTACATAGATCAGTCCTTCTCAAGGCCTGCATTGGCGGGAGCCTTGTACAATAAGCATTTTTTTGTTGACATGGCAATATAATGAGAAAGATTGAGCAACTTATTGGAGCTAGAGAAAATTCATAAAGACCAGTGACATTTGACCCACTTTACTATGAAGTAGGGAAGAAGGCATGATAATCATTCAAAAATATGGAGAAAATAGGCTAAGTCAAGGGCCAACAAAACAATCTTTAATGATCAAATAGGCAATAAGGAGAGCTTACAGTGTTACTTCATGGTGGTGTCAATCAAAGATTCAATAATGTGATTACTTACTGTTTCATGAGTTGTATCAATAATATTCATTCTAGTTCTTAATATTCTCTCTAATTTTTCTCTATCTTGGTCATCCTCATCTCTCTTCTTTCTACTCCTTTGAGGTGTCTTTTTCCTAGAGGAAACAAGACACTCGATGTGTGGCTTTACATTCTATCAATAATCATAACAGAGTCCCAACATATCATGCAGAAGCTTTCAGAGAAGGACAAATAAAACAAAACTTTGAAAGAGAAGGGTCTGCTAGGACTAATTATTTAAGTTAACAGTATTTATATTATATTTCTTGCAAATTGAATTTTTTGATCTAGTTATGAATAAAACAATGTGGATTTCTTATGGCAAAAAAAAGTTGATCAAATGTGCTTAAGCAACTCCTGGACATCAGAGTGATGAATATTAGTTTATTGTTGATTAAAGTCAGCATGAGATATAAAAGGAACACACGGACGCAAACACACACATGTGATAACGTAATCCAACAACTTGGTCATTGCTTGATGAGGGACACTCAACAAAAGTATATCAATGATCACAATCAGTTAATTTTAAAAGGAGTATCTTGTCCATTCAAGATTGGTGCCTTGATCAAATACCTAATGTTGTAACTAGATATCTAGAAGCACTTATATATTTTTTAACAATAGTAATTATTACAAAAAAAATATATATTATTCTGAACCAATCTGAAAACATTAATTTAGGGGAGAAACTGATTCTGTTGGAGAGAGGACCAAAATATGAGTGGGAATCTTGCCTTTGCATTTTTAGGATTATTTGTTTTTTCATTTACTAAAGCAAAGTACTCTATGAGAAATAAAAATTAATGTTTCTGTTGGAGAAACATTAATTTTTTATTTTTTCAGTCATATATCCAATCCAACTGGATATTGGATTGATTCTACTATTGCGATTGAGGCTGCTTGATGCTTTAGGGCGCATCTAAACTCACATGGAGCCTGCCTTCTCCTTTGCTCTTTCCAGCTTGTGTCTTAGTATCCGCCCCCTCGAAGTCCTCTGGTGGGATATGGTAATAAGACAGTAAGCGCAGTTGAGCGCCTTTTCCTCGCTACAATATATGGACACTCCGTTTAGTGCTATAGGGCGAAGCGGGACATGTTTGACCTCACACCTAACTAGTGTCAGGTCGAACGAGCCCCCTAGTTCTAGTTTTAAGACCGGAACATTAGCAACATTGGATTAGGATGAATATTTGAAAAGCGCTATATTTTAGGCTTTTCTAGGGAATTCATCCTATTTTTAACCTTATAAACTACTATGTGTCCTTGCAATGATAAAATTATGGTGCCTACTGGGATAAATAGCTTGTGTTGGTCAAGGGAAATCTTTGTATTATCTGGTGTAAGTTGCTTAAATTAACAACAATAATCATTGTGCTAGTTATACTAAGTTTTGTGCATCATCTAGTCAATCTTCAAAATCATATTTTAGTCCTCAACAAAATATGGATGAGTAATATAATTAAATTACTAGCAATGAATGAACATGATTATGCAAACTCAATTTATGATTAATTATAAGATCATATTTTTGGATAGAATTTCTGTATCAATTTGTAAATAACAGGATCCTATTGTATAGTAATTATTCAGGGATGGTTATTATCTAATTGGCTTTATGCAATCTACTTATATATTTAAAATTGATACAAATGGGTGTTGCAGTAGAGTGTGAATGCTTCTATGATTCTGCAGTCATATAGTTCTACTTTTCATAAAGCTTAATGTCTTAAAATTTCTAGCTGGTTTTGTAGATTTAGGTGAAAGATATTTCTGCTAATATCTGAATTTTGGGGCAAACCAGTTCAGACGCAGTCTGCAGAATATTTGAAAAGAAAAGGCACACAAGAAAATATATGCATTTCGTGCCCAAGTAGGACAAATCATGTAGCCAGTTCAATGTTCAGATGTGGTATAAAGAAAAGGAACATGCAAAAGCTGCAAAGAAGTCAAGGTCTGCCGAAGGAAATAGTGTTAACTGGTAAAAAGTTTTGATTGCTTTTTAAAGCAAAGTTCTGAAGCTCAACGTCAGCGCGTTTTGACCAACATTTTGCATGTTTTCAGTAGAATTTGATAAAAACTTCTTTGCATTGTAAAGGCATTTAGTTCTAGGTTAACTTGGTCAGAAATCATTCGGAGTAGGATGGCATGTTAGTTCTTTGTCTTTGCTTTATGTGGACTTCATTGCTGTTGAAATTGGCACTGTACAACAGTCTGTATCGTTGCTTGAAGATTCACAAAGGGACCAAGTTGCTATGTTTTCTGGATTCCGAAGGGGAAGTGGCCACTTACTGATAGTTTTATTGTGCTTGAGTCTATTCCCTCGGGAAATGGCCACTGCTGCTAGTAAGATGGATGGTTTGGTGATATTACTGTAGTGGTATTTGTCTGCAGTGTATCTAATCCTCTTGATTCAGAGTGGGCATCATATATGTATGTTGATAATCTTAGCCGTTGCAGCTACTTACTGGACTCATCTATGACTGTGGCCTACATTTTCGACTTGCGACATGCCAGGGTTCTAATGATATATATAAGGGTGGTAATTTGTTGCAATTTTTTATGATAATGATCCACTCTGATCCTCTGGTAGATCTTAGTAAAGCAGCTGATCAGATGGCTGAATTAGGCAAACTTATGCTGTGGAGCTCTCAATTTCCTATTGATGTTAGTGATTGAGATCGAACCGACTGATGGTTAGTATCATATGGATTTCTAATTTGGACTTCTCTGGTCTTAGAAAGCAATTTCTTTTTCATTACCTGTTCAAAAATTTCAAAGACCCATTCCTTTTATTTTTTCTCTTTATAATTACTGCACTGAGAACTTTACCACCTCCTCTCTTTACCTAACCTCCAGAGGGATTGTGGCTTTGCTTTGTCAAAAGAAAAAAAAAAGGGAAGGTTCAATCATTGATGTTTGCTTCATGCTCATCCTGGCTCATAAATCATAAGTTATTTTAGTTGATGAAGAAGTCTATCTAGGTTCCAGAATTGAGGTTTTGATTCAGTCAAATTTGAAATCAGAATCGAATCGGCTCCGAACGGTTCCGGTTTCGAACTTCATATATTTTAATTTTAAATTTTAAATTTTATTTTCTTAAAATGCTCCTTCAATTAAATATTTATTAAATTATTAGAAGGGACACATTCTTCATTTGCAGGGGCATTTGATCATTTAGATTTTTTTTTATCAGTTCAAAACTGAACTATCATAATTCGATTTTGACTTGATTGAACCATCGACTCGATTTGATTTTGATTCATGATAATGTAAGTATAAAGATCTGTAATTATGCTATGTCAATAATGCGGAAATAACCTATATGCCAGGATTGAAATCAATGCATAGATCTAATTATACGATGTGTACCTTTTGATGTCATATGTTCAGAGATCCCGTTGATCTGCTAAGCACCGTCTTTAATCCAAGATCGCTGCAAGCACCATCTTTAATCCGACCATCTTTAATCCAATCGCACGCAATCTGAAGGAGTGCAAGGAGCTTCTCCTCTCTTCTTATCCTTTCACAGGACATACACAGATTGATGGATTTAGGGAGAGTGTTTTGGGGAGAGAGTCGAGGAGAATAACTGAATCCCTCAATGGAGAGGTGTAGTGGACTTAGTCTATTGGCTAAAATATCTGAACGGAACCCAATTAGTTATTCTATTATATATCTTATTCAATTATAAAAGGGCCACATATTCTAACATTCTCCCACTTGGCCCATTAATTGATAAGATATAAAAGAGATACAAAATCAAAACAAACAAAACAAAATTTGTTTGAAAACAATTTTACCTAATTGGATTCCAAGAAATTTTGAAAAACATTTTATACATGGTCATGTTTTAAAAATAAGCCAATAAGTCCAATAAACATAATAATACTATATTAAGTCCAACTATCAATGCGAGTCATAGCGGTTGTATTTCATCAATGTCATACTCCCTTCTATGTACCACAACATTGTTAGTCTTTCCTAACATAGTCCATAATGACCCCTGTAATTTGTCTTGTCAAGACAATCCTGTTATTACATTCAACCATAATATGCATAAACATAAATGTAAACAGGATAGTAGAAACATATAACTTTAATTAAGTAAAATGTCAATAATAGCATCCACATAAACATGCATCACCATATCCTTTATGACTTGCTCACAAGCCCCATTCTAAGAACATGTTCTTTGAATATTTTGCACTGTAAGGCTTTTGTCAATGGATCAACAATCATCATAGTGGTGCTCAAGTTCTCAACTGACACTTGCTGTTTCTGACTCTTTCTCTAACCACCAAGTACTTTATCTCAATGTGCTTGGAACCACTAGAATACTTGTCATTCTTAGAGAAGAAAACTACTACGGTGTTATCACAAAATATCTTCAGCGACTTGGCAATTGAGTCGACCACACCAAGTCCTGAGATAAAATTTTACAGCCATAAAGCTTGATTTGTGGCCTCAAAGCATGCCACAAATTCAGATTCCATTGTTGATGATGCAATAATCGATTGCTTTGCACTTTTTCAAGAAATTGCCCCACCAGCTAACATAAATACAAATCCTGAAGTGGACTTCCTGCTGTCGAGGCAATTTGCAAAATCAGCATCTGAATATCCAATTACTTCAAGCTGATCAGATTTCCTATATGTGAGCATATAATCTTTTGTCCCTTGTAGATATCTCATTACTTTCTTTGCAGCTTTCCAATGTTCCATTCCTGGGTTGCTTTGATATCTTCCCAGCATTGCAACTGCAAAACTGATATCTGGTCTTGTACAGGTTTGAGCATATAATAGACTTCCAACTGCGCATCCATAAGGAATATTCTTCATTTGATTCTTTTCTAAGTCATTTCTTGGGCACTGGTTTTGATTGAATTTTTTACCTTTAGTAATAGGTACATCATTGGTTGAGCAAAGCTGCATATTAAATCTCTTCAAGATACGATCAATATATCCTTTCTGAGACAATCCTAATAATCCTTGAGATCTATCTCTGAATATCTCAATGCCAATAACATAAGATGCCTCATTCATATCAACCATCTTAAAGTTCTTGTTGAGAAATATCTTGGTTTCGTGCAATAAACCAAGATCACTACTGGCAAGTAAAATATCATCCACATATAAGACCAATATAATAAACTTGCTCCCACTTACCTTCAGGTATATACACTGATCAACAATGTTTTCCTTAAATCCGAAGGAAGAAATGGTATTATGAAACTTTATATACCATTGTCTGGAAGCTTGTTTAAGGCCATAAATGGATTTCTTAAGTTAAAAGCCCAACTTTCTTTTCCCTTTTCTATGAATCCTTCGGGTTGTTCCATATAGATTTCCTCATCTAGATCCCCGTTTAGAAATGCTGTTTTCATATCCATTTGATGCAACTCAAGATCATAATGAGCTACTAATGCCATAACGATTCTCAATGAGTCCTTTTTAGAAACAGGAGAAAAAGTCTCATTATAGTCGATGCCTTCTTTCTGAGAAAAACCTTTAGCCACAAGTCTGGCTTTATATCGTTCGATATTGCCCGTTGAGTCACGTTTTGTCTTAAAGACCCATTTACAACCGACTCTTTTACAATCATTGGGCAATTCAACGAGATCCCAGACATCATTCTGTACCATTGATTTTAACTCTTCTTTCATTGCATCATACCATTTTTCAGAATCGTTACTTTCTATGGCTTGTGAAAACGATAAGGGGTCTCTTTTTATTCCTATATCATAATCTGATTCTTGTAGATATACAACATAATCATCAGAAATGGCATGTTTCCTTTTCCTTTGAGAGCTTCTCAAATCTGCCAATTGTGATTGTTCTACAAGATCATCAGCGGCGACATCAACATCATATGAGAGTTCTTGGATGTTATTTTGTTGTTCACCCTCATCAATACTCTCATTGATTTGAGGAACAACAATCTCTCGGACAGGAGATGATATGAGAGAATTAACCTGAATCTCCTCAATATCAAAATTAATCCTTCGAGATTTTTCACTCCCACTGATTTCGTCATTTTCTAGGAATTTTGCATTACCAGATTCTACTATTCTCATACTATGATTAGGGCAATAAAATCTGTATCCCTTAGACTTTTCTGGATAACCAATAAAATATCATGAAATAGTTCTTGGATCCAATTTCTTTTCATGTGGATTGAATACTCTTATCTCTACAGGACATCCCCAAATATGTAAATGTCTCAGACTGGGCTTCCTACCAGTCCATAACTCAAATAGAGTCGATGAAACTAACTTACTAGGAACCCTGTTCAAGATGTACATAGTTGTCCTAAGAGCTTCACCCCACATCGACTCAGGTATAGAGGAATAACTCATCATGCTCCTAACCATATCCATCAGAGTACGATTTCGCCTTTCAGCAACACCGTTCTACTATGGCACACCTGGTAATGCATATTGAGCACAAATACCCCATTGTTCTAAGAATCTAGCAAAAGGACCAATATTCTGATTAGATCCATCATATCTGCCATAAAATTCACCACCTCTTCTCTACTAAAACAAGGAATATGGAGTGGTCCGCAAATATCAGTATGAATAATCTCAAGGAGTTCTTTACTTCTTGTGGCATTTTTCTTTATTTGTTTAGTTTGCTTTCCCTTAATGCAATCTATACAAATATCAAAATCAATGAAGTCTAAATGTTCTAAAATATTATCCTTCACTAATCTTTCAATTCTTTCCTTGGATATATGCCCCAATCGTCTATGCCACAATATAGAAGATCTTTCATTATTGAAACTACGTTTCAATCCAATATTTGATTGCAAGGTCATTAGTGTCTTTGCAAACTCAAGATCCAAATTAATTCTGTACAAACCATCACACAGAATTCCAAAACCAACTTTTATTGAATCGTAAAATATGCTGAGTTTGCCACTACCAAAAGAAATATAATATCCTAACTCATCAATTCTAGAAAGAGAAATCAAATTTCTAGAAATTGTAGGGACATAACATGTGTCAACAAGATCCATCAAGTGACCCGTCTCTAAGCGTAGACGATAAGTTCCCATTGATATCACTTTCGCTTTAAGACGATTTCCCATAATGATGAATCTTTCATGTTCTTTTGGTTTCCGAATTGAAAAAAATCCTTACATGTTATTTGTAATATGAGTTGAAGCACCGGAATCTATCCACCAAGTGTTAGAAGGAACTTCTGTAATGTTTGATTCGAAACATACAAAGGTCGAGTTAATACCTTTCTTTTCGAACCAAGTCTTGCGTTTAATGCAATCCTTCTTCACATGTCCTTTC